TGCTTTATATCTCACAATTTCATCTTTTTCATTTCGTTTTCGCACAAATACCCATTTGTATCCTATTGGCTTAACATCTTCGGGTGTTTTAACTATGGGTCCAAAAGCTGCTCGTTTTGTGAGAGACTTTAATTCTTCCCGAATTGCATCTTTCCATTTAGGCCAATCATCTCTATGTCGACATTCTTCAATGGATTTAGGCTCGGGATCCTTATTCAAGATATCAATTGCCACATTATATGCAAAGATGTTATCAATGAATGTTTCTTTTCGGTCCCATACTCTCCCTGTGTTAACATAATTTATCGAAATTTCTTGATTTTTCTCAAGCATTTGGGCTTCTTCCGGAAGCTTGTTATCAAAAACATATTGGACCATTTTATCTCGTCTCCTTTATATTTTCATCTTGATTATTTTCCTTTTTTTCTTTCGAGGATTTTTATCTTTAGAACCGATCGGTCTTCCACGCTTCGGACGTGTTTTAGATTCATTTGTTATAACATTAATAGGTTGTCCTACTTGGGACATCAATTTTAATAGGAGCATTCTCGGCGGGAACATGTGATTTAGTTACTCTCTTTGGATCGAGAGAATGCATCCGACGGTTGGTTTGCAAGACTTTGTAAATGAATTATCCTTTGAACTTCAAGTTCACATTGTTTTGTACGGGGATCAAGATGATATAAAGATGAAGTATTCCATGTAATTTCTTTTTCCAACATTTCTAATCGCTTATTCTGTTTATTTTCTCCCCTAATGTTGGAAAAATTGTTTCATCAAAATGACAATCGGCAAAACGAGCCGTAAAAACATCCCCTGTTAATGGTTCAAGATATTTAATTATAGAAGAAGATTCATATCCAACATATATTCCCAATCTCCTTCGAGGACCCATTTTAGTTCTTTGTGGAGGAGTAATTGGGACATATACCGCACATCCAAAAATCCTTAAATGAGAAATATTAGGCTCATGACCGAAACCAATTGAAGGGGAGATAATTTCGATAACTTGTAGGCTCGATGCGAATAAGTGTTCGTTGCATGTAAAATTACATGTCCCCAAACATAAACGGGAAGTTTTGTTTTCATAAGTAATGGTCTAGCTATCAATTGGAGGCTTTTGATAAATGATTCCGCTAGACCATTTTGAGTATGAACATAAGCAATAGGTACGTTCAACTCTTATTCCAATAGACATGCAATAATCATTAAAAGCTTGAGATGTAAATTCACCGAGCATTATCAAGACGAATTGTTTTAATGGTATAATCTGAAAATTGTGCTCGTAATCGAATTATTTAAGCAAGTAACCTCGAAAACGCCGGGTTTCGAGTTGATAATAAACATACATGTGACCATCTTGTAGATGCATATATTAAAACCATAAAATATCTAAATGATCCACATGGTGGATGAATTGGTCCACATATATCACCTTGTATACGTTCTAAAAATGCTTGGAGAGTCAATCTTAATTTTATTTGGTGAAGGCTTAATAATAAGTTTGCCTTGAGAACATGCAGAATATGAAAACTCATTAGATTGAAGAATCTTCTGGTTCTTCGAGTGGATGTCCATACGAATTTTCGATAATTTTTCACATCATAATGAATCCAGGATGGCCTAATCGATCATGCCACAAAATAAAAGGATTAGTAAACTTCGGTTTACTATGGCATTTGTTTCAATCCTTTGAATATTTGTATAATAAATGCCGGAAGAGAAAGCGAGTAATTTCTCCAATACATATTTTCTACTCGATTTAATTTTTGTAATATATAAGTACTCAATATTCTCAATATTTGTTGTCTCAATATGATATCCATTTAAACGAATATCTTTAAAACTTAATAAATTTACGTGGGACTTAGGAGAGAATAATGCATCATCTATAATCAAATTTGTCCCTCCAGGTAGTAATATATTTGCTCTTCCGGAGCCATTAATTAAATCAACACTACCGGATATAGTGTTAACATTAGCCTTGCCCATCGTTAAATTGGAGAAATACCTTTTATTTTTAAGTATAGTATGTGTGGTTGCACTATCCACGAGGCATATATTCTCCTCCATGACGTTTAAACCAATTGCAAACTTGGTAATATCAATATATTCTTCATAAACACAAAAACAAACAAATAAATAAAAATGAAAACTAATATGATGAAATCAAAATAAAACATAAAACTTCTTTATTTATCAAAAGGTAACAAAATTTCAAACAATTATCATTAACTTAATAATTTTTTCTTTTAGAATCTTCAAAGAAATCGAGCAACATCTAAATGTGTTAAGTTATCGAAATCTTCAAGAGGAACATTGTCACAAACATTATTTTGATATATAAAATTTGCCTCTATATCATTTTCTTTCTTTTTCAATGAGGCTTGATAAAGCTCAACTAGGTGTTTTGGCGTAAGACAGGTACGCGACCAATGTCCCTTCATACCACATCTATAACATTCATTTTCGGAGTGCTTGACTTGATCCACCTTTATTCTTTTTTTGTTTCTTTTCATAATTTATCCACTTCGGGGATGAGGTGTATTATTATTACCATCACGATTATAACGATAATTATTCCGATCACGACTAATGCCACGACCACGTCCACGTCCACGGTTACGGCCACGACCACGTCCACGCCCAAAATTATTATAAGATGTCACATTCACTTCGGGGAATGGAGTAGATCCGATTGGGCGGGATTCATGATTTTTCATTAGTAGCTCGTTATTTTGTTCGGCCACAAGTAGGCATGAAATCAATTCGAGTATTTCTTAAAACCTTTTTCTCGATATCTGCTGTTGCGGGAGCATATTCGAGGCATGAAAAGTAGAGAATGTTTTCTCTAACATATCGGAATCGGTAATATTTTCTCCACATAATTTTAGTTGGAAGCCGATTCTAAATACTGCAGAATTATACTCACTTACGGTTTTAAAATCTTGTAACCTTAAGTGCATCCAATCATAACGAGCTTTTGAAAGAATTACCGTCTTTTGGTGGTTGTATCTTTCCTCTAAATTTTTCCACAGTTCAAGTGGATCTTTCATCGTTAAATATTCGGTTTTCAAATCTTCATGGAGATGATGACGAAGGAAGATCATTGCCTTAGCACGGTTTTGCAAGGATTCTTGATTATCATCCATGATTGTTTGTCCAAGGCCATTAGCATTTAAATGTATCTCAAGCATCAAGCACCCATGATAAATAATTCTTGCCCGAAATGTCAAGGGCCACAAAATCAAGCTTTGTGAGGTTTGACATGATAAAAATTCTATAATACAAGATATAATAATGATGTTAGAAAATAAAAACAAACATAATAATAATATTCAAACTTCTCAAAACAACATGCATTGGATTATTAGAATATATATTAGATTATTCAAGTTTTCAAATATACATTATATGTACTATTAGATTTAAAACAAAAGATAGATTAGGTACATACCTCTTAATAGGCTAGATGATTTGCGTCGTTTGGTAGAACAATCGTGTCGATAACGTGTTGTGAAAAATAAAAGATATATGAGAATTTAAAGGAAGGATGGCAAGAAGAAGAATTCACTATAAAGTGAATACAAGTGAGAAAACTTCAAGTTGTTCTCTTAATCTCTCTACAAACTTATACATCAACAAATGAACAATCAAGCCTATTTATAGGCCTCAAAATTGAGATGAGAATTGGAAGGACTATGAATAATTAAAAGTACATCAATTGCATCATCCTTTCAATTTCTCAAATTGAATGGTGAATTGAATCACATTAAGGATCATGAGTAGTGAGGATATGAAAAGTAGATGGACATTCATTATTTTATAACAAAAACTAATTAATTAGTTTTTAAAATAATAACAAGTGTTTAATTTATTTTACAAAACTAGAAAGACTAATTTCTAATTTGCTCCTTTTCAAAAATAAAATTAAAAAAAAAAGGTTGTATCTGCGCTTAATGTGAGTGAGGTGACAGGAATAGTTGTGCAAGATTCCCGATAATGATCTCATTGGTAGATGGCAAAACTTCAAGTTAAAAAAAAAAAAAAAAAAAAACAGAAGTCCTAAAGAAAAAGAAAACGGAAATGTTTTGTTTTTTGTGTGGGTTTAGAAATAGAGTTCCTGTTATAATTACAATTGGTCTGTCAGGTCTCTCCGAACGCAAACACACACAAACACAAACAAAAACAAAAACAGAGAGAGGAAGAAGAGTTTTGAAGAAGACTCTTTAATTTGATCCAAACCTTCAAAAAAGCAAGGTTAGTTTCTGCTCAAAATCTCATTTATCTCTCTGTTTTCTTTTTCTAAATATGAATGAATGCAAATCATTAAAACCCACTCGTAATTCAAGAAATTCATGCATCTTCCGTTTTCGTTGTTTTGTTTTGTTTGTTTTTTTTTTAATTAGAAAGTAATGCACAAGGCTTGATCTGAAGATTACAGGAAATACATATCTTTGTTATCATCGACCTTGCTGTAAGTCAATTTCCCTATTTTTCCTTTTGTATTTTTTTTTTAAAAAAGGTTATTCTTTACTGTGCAACCTGTGTTTTTACTACGTTCAATGTGGAAGGAGGGGTTGAGGGAGATTATTCCTCATCATTTTAAATTATGAGTCATGCTGGAATGTTGATTGAATTGAATGAGGTTAAAGTGGCTGTTGTATAAGTTAGTTTTTTCTTAAGTGGGGTCTCAATTTCTTTTCATAGTTACCAAATTGAAACTTTTATACAACGGAATTTTGTTAGTCATTTGGGCGAATGCAATTATACTAATTTCTTTCCTGTTACTTTGGCTTGTTTGCTTAATGAACTTGCTGTATGCTTTGGATGCTTATGATTGATATGATGAATTGAGGATCTTGAAATGTGTATAGTTTAAGCTTGACATGTTTAACATGCTTCTGATCTGATGTGGCAGAGCTTGACCTTTGCTGTCCCAACATTGTATATCTTGTTTCGTATGGATTCCTAGGGCTTTTGATTGCTTCAAGCAAGCAATGATGACTACGAGTTCAACTGTTTCAACTTCTCAAGGATTCCTTCCACGAGCAATGCATGGCTCCTTTGAATCCTCAAATGTTCTTGCTTCTGGTTCTTTAGCTCAGCCTGAACTGGAATCCAGTGGTGGCAATGAAGTGGAATTGATTTCTGTATCTTGGAACCAGGATTACGGCTGCTTTGCTGCTGGCACAAGCCATGGGTTTCGCATTTATAATTGTGAGCCTTTTAAGGAAACTTTCAGACGTGATCTCAAAAGTGGGGGATTCAAAATTGTTGAGATGCTGTTCCGGTGTAACATTTTGGCACTTGTTGGTGCTGATGCAAATTCGCAGTATCCTCCAAACAAAGTTTTGATCTGGGATGATCATCAGAGCCGGTGCATTGGTGAATTTTCATTTAGGTCTGAGGTTCGTGCAGTTAAGTTAAGGCGGGATCGCATTATTGTTGTTCTTGAGCACAAGATATATGTTTATAATTTCATGGATTTGAAGCTTCTTCATCAGATCGAGACTCTGGCAAATCCTAGAGGACTGTGCTGCCTTTCTCAGAATTCAAATACATCCGTGTTAGCCTGCCCAGGGCTTCATCGAGGCCAGGTTCGAATTGAACACTTTGGGTTGAATGTCATGAAGTTGATTAATGCTCATGATTCTCATATTGCATGCCTGACCTTGACAATGGATGGCCTGCTTCTTGCAACTGCTAGTACAAGGGGCACTTTGATAAGAATTTTCAACACAATGGATGGCACTCGTTTACAAGAGGTAGCATGTTAAAAACATAGTTTACAACTATTATGATTTTGATGTCATCTTGAAATTTCATTGCAGAACTTGTATGTTTCTTGATGGGGAAGTCATATCATGTACTAAAAACTTACTCTGAGGTGCTAGTTATTTGTAAATTGCTGGTATCGTTGATATAATGTTTGATGAAGTTATTCTTTCAAGAACTAAACTCGTTTACAATAGGTAGCGAATGATCTTGATATATACTTATACCTTTCTACCTTTCTGGAAACTAATAAGCATGTAGTGTTCTATGGAATTTATGCTAATAGTACTTCTTTGCTGTAGGTGCGAAGGGGAGTTGACAGAGCGGAGATTTATGGCATTGCACTCTCTCGGAATGTTCAGTGGTTGGCTGTATCAAGTGACAAAGGTACTGTTCATATCTTCAGTCTAAGGGTTCGAGTGGCTGGGGAGGACTCATCCTCTCGTTCAAGCCCTGCTCAGGGTCTGGCATTGTTAGAACAGAATTCACCAAATTCCCTTGATGCCCTTATTTCTCCAAGCACTAGCGCGAATCCTGGCTCGTCACTATCTTTTATGAGGGGTAAGAAAGCTTTGTTGATAAATGTTACTAGAGATGAACCTATAAACTTTTTCCTATTCTTCTTCTTTCGTTTCCTAATTTTCTTTTATTTGTTCTTTTGGTTTGAGTAGACATATAACTCCTATAATGAAAAACATGGAGAAAATTTGATGTTTAAGCAAATGAAACCTCATGATATGCTGTTGAAAGTTGCAAAAACATGAAATAAGTGTCTAAAATATTATCACATGTTCTTTTACCCAGATGTGTGATGCAGAATATAAGAAATGGAAGGGAGTGAACGGATTGAAATCTTAAATTCCACTACCAAGGATCAAACATTGAAATCTCCTATGTGCTTCTTGAAATCACAGAAACCAAGGATCTTGAAACCAAGAAAGGAGAAGAGTTCTACGTTGGAAATTTTGTTTATCAACTCTGTCAGTGTCTTACATTGACATCAGAAACCTAAAAACTCAAGTAAATATAGACAAAAGATTCCTAATGAAATATGATCCCTGAAAATGATAAAATCCTAGGTAATACAAGATATTGCAAATAGAGAATTTGAAAGTCTTATTCATCTGAGTAACTAATTAAGTGTTGATTTATAACTCAGAATAACTTCTCTACACTTGAGACCTTGTGCATTTCTTTAATAGAGGAAAAAGTTATGAAATTTGATCTTCTTCTCCACCGCACCATCGGATTGCAAATGACTAAAAGTCAATGTGATTGATTTCTTCAGTCTATAGCAATAGAATCTTCAAGTTACAACTCTGCTTATACAAAGTTCACTTTTAGCTCTTCGTCATTATAGCATTTGTTTGCTTGTCAATCTTTTCTGGCAGACATGCTTTTTCACTTGTAATGTTGCTTCTAATTGCTTCTCTTCATAAAATTTGTGCCTTGAAGAATTGGACCCATAATTTCAATTTCTCATATAATTTAAGTTTTCATGTCTTCCTTACTCTTTGAGAACTAGCTTCAGAAAGACTTCTGGTAAGCAATATCAAAAAAAATTCTGTATCCATCTCAAATGACCTTTGTATATACAATATCCATGAAAAATTGAAGATAATTCTGTGCTGAGATAGCACTAGGTTGAGATTGGAAGTAAACTAGGACTGCCTTATCATAAATCAGGGTTAAAAGCTCCCCTACTCTTGATTTTGTACTAGTTTTGGCCCTCTACGTTTATTTGTTTTAATGTCCCCCCTACTTTTGTCTTGGTTGGGTCCTTATTTGACCGGAAGCTATGGTTACCAGTCAATCAGCTAGTAGCCCCCACCATATGTTGACACATGTCACCCTTTTTTATTCAATTTTTCCCATTTCTTTTTCTGTTTCTTTTTTCTTTTTCTTCTCCTTCCTCAACTAGCCACCCTAACCCTTACTATCCATCATCTCCTATCTCCCTACCAAACCCACTCCAGCCACGAACAACTCCCTGGCACAGCCATTCAAAGTCAGTGTATAAACCAGTTTCTTCTCTTAAAAAGATAGAGTTTGAACAACTCACATTACATTTCCCTCAATCATGGAGAAGAAATGCAGAAATATAACCCTTGTATGAATCAAATTGTGAACCTGATACCTGGTTTTATTCTTTTCAAATACCATCACCATTACTATTCTTTGCCTTAAAGACTTAACACTTTCTTTCATGCGCTCTTCAGTACTTCCACTAATTTCTTGTTCCATTATAATTTACTTTTTTTGTTTTTTAATGGAAAAGTTTATTGAGTAAATCTGCAGCGGGCTAACAGAAGTTGCAGAACCATGGATTTAAAAATCAAAGCCAAACTAATGAAATTGTAAATGGCTCCAAGATAAGCAACTGCACCTCAACTACCAAATGCAATCAGTTTGGGAGTCCTAAATCTGAATTTTTTTTATCTCTTTTTTTTTTTTCCTGCTTATTTATTAGGGCAAGAAAGAGAGATGGGGCTCATAGCTTACAGGAGACTTTTTTGACACTTTCTTGTTTCTTTTTCTCCTAAAAGAGTCTCATATTTCTTGTGCTTGTGCAGGGGTTTTACCTAGATATTTTAGTTCTGAGTGGTCATTTGCTCAGTTCCATTTGCCAGAAGACACCCAGTATATTGCAGCCTTTGGATCTCAGAATACAGTCATTATCGTTGGTATGAATGGGAGGTATGCAGTTATTTTCATCCTGTTACCTGCTGCTGTGGTTGCATATGGCTGTGTTTTTCTATGTGCCTGCTAAGAAGAAACTATAAGCTTTTGAATGTAGATGTTTTTTTTTTCAATTTTTTTTATGGCTCATTAAAATTAATAACTCTAGTGTACAAAATGAACAAGTTGTTTGCTTCACATAATTGAGTGTTGAACTCTTGCTACAAGGATTTTAACTTTTCGTGCCTATTTTTGTGTCTTATCTCCTTAGCCTAGCCAAGCACATCTTCCTGGTATGTACGCTTTTTCTGAATGAATTGGCAAGATAGAAAAAGAAATGTAGAGGGAAATTGAAACTACTTTTCATGCTTGAATGTACCTAGTTTGTAAATGGTTTAGCTAGGGTGCCTTAAATAATGACCATATTAGGTGGGGATCATTGTTGGCCAATCTTGTTGTGGTAAACTTAAGGAGGAATAGACAGTGGGACTGGGAACGACAATTGAAATACAGTGTTTTAAATGTGCTTTCTTTCTCTCCCTCTCTCTCATTGGAGTGTTTCTCCATTTTCTATCTCTTAGAGGTTTTCTCCATTACCAGTTTTTACAGGTGCAGCTTTGATCCAGTTCATGGAGGACAGATGCTGCAGCAGGAATATGTCCGCTTTCTGCAAACAGAGAGTAGACCTAGATAGGGCCGTCTGTTTATCATATCCAGAATATTTATTTTCCATACCATGTAAATATGAATTATAAAAATAGCCACTGTAAATAATCTTAAACTGGTATCTGTTAGACACTTAATGGGAAACGTTTTCTGGTATATTTACTTTGTGCTAAGAACTTCTACACTGGGCACATTTGATCACTTGTTTTGGTGCCCTCCTGTTGAACTTTCTGTGAATGTTTTGTGCTTAAGGGCTGACTGAGAGTTCGGTCTTCCTGAAGAACTTTCTGTAATGGTAGCCAATTTGGCAGCAAGTACATAAATCAAAACAGTCAAGCCTGGATTTTAGAATGCAGGTTCTAGAAGCTCGATGACTGAAGCTCAGTAAGAATACATGCTATGAAAAGAATCAAGTTTCGCCTGCATTGGAAACAGGTGAACCATATATATTTAAGATCGACCAAAAAGAAAAATTTGCCAAAACTCAAGGGCTCACCAACCGAAAGAAGCACCAAGTGATGAAAAAGAAAGAAAGAAATGTTCTGTAAATAAATCTATATATTATCATCTTGTTAGGGAAGCAAGACTTTCGCAATACATGGTAAGATCCTCTACAGAGTAAGGTAGCGTCTTCTTTCTAAATGTTTTCTTTCTCACATCATAGTAGAGCAGGGTGTTAGTATCAGAGTTGAATATCATGTCTCCATCCTTGACGCACTGGAGTTCTCCAACGAAAATCAAATGAGTTCTGCTTAGGTCGATCATGCATAATTTTGCCCACATGCTATTCCTGGGATCAGCTAGTTTCCATACCGCTATATGAGATAATGGTAAAGTCTCTACCATGCACAAATTCCCTAGTAGTTCCACGAGTTGCGTCGAATTTTGAATACGTGATCTCCAATCAGGATGAGTGATAGGAATCCAGTCTGTAGGATGAGTAATGGTTTGAAACTTCTCGTACCTTACATTAAACGATACAATAAAATCGTTTTGCCGGTGGAGTGCTTGCTGACGGTCGATTTTCCAGTATATAGTTTCGTTTGCAAAAGCTGGAAGGCTATACTGATCCACAAAATATGGGCAGTGATCATTCAGTACCCTCCATGAAAATGATTCTCCTCCTGGAACAAGGGTGAAAACTGAACACTCCAAGTAAAGTCTTGATCTCCGAGGAATTAACCGCACAATCTTGTGTTCTCTCATTGAGCTCAGAAATCCAACCCCGAATCCTGCCATTTTACTTCGACTATCTGGCAGTGCAAGAAGTCGACGGGTACTAGGGTTACACACATGAATGCGTGTGTCTGTAGCTAAGACAAGCAATCCAAAGCAACCTGGCAGTATGAGTTTAACAGGTTCATGCACCTTAATTTGAATCAGACCGACGTTATTCCCCTCAGTATCCGTCGAAATAAAGTTATAAACGTATCGGTGTCCGAGGTGTCCATGTGGGTGATAATCAAAGTCACCCAATCGAAGAAGGAGCCGAGGATTCCTCCGCGATCGACTGTAGTGCAAGGCTTGGAAACCAAGGTTTGAATGAATCATGCGGTACCATAATTTGCATACAGAGTTGAATCTTGAAAGAGTCTTCACCGGTAATCTTGATAGAACGTCTGCCATAATGACATAGTTATTTGCGAGGTGAGAAGCCATCCCCTTTCGTACCCTTGCAATGTTTGAAATATCCATCTTCTTGATCAATAATCTTTTTCTGATAGAAAAGAAAAAATTAAGGACTATCAAGGAAGCCACCATATAACACAATAGGATGATCTTAGAACTCCATGGAAATTTTGGAAAGTTGTTGGTTTCCCTTTCTTGATTTTTCCTATTTTGTTTTTGTTCCTTTTATCTCTCGGATGATTCACACAAGCCACAAGGTGCGGATTGAGTTCCATTCCCAAACGGTTTTGGTTTATTTATTGACAAGCAATGCATCGCCTTTGCTCATACTAATACTTTTTAAATGAAATGGTAGTATTTTTCTTTTTTAGTAATTCGCTTTTTTGGAAACTTTCGGCCATTGTATTTATGTGATTCACTGTATTTACTCATTTTAATGTAAATTCATGACTTTTTGGTGAGTGAATTAGAAAATAAATTTTGGTGAGATTAATTTTTATATATCTAACAAATTAATAATCAAATCACATGGAATGATGACTATATCATTAAATGCTTTTGATAAATTTGTTAGATTCCTAAAATGCCATTAATATTCTCTTATTTAGGTTTACTATCTTCCATTCCTATATATATAATTGTGGAAATAATTCTAGACTATCCAACAACTCCATGTTACGTACGTTCCGCTTAAATATATTAATTAAGCTATATGTATTAATTAACAATTATTTTCTTCACTTTTTATTTTTCCAAACTAATTTGAGTATTTAATTAGGTTTACATAGATACAATGCAATTGCCTCTGCCATGTCTGTCTCTTAAACGTTAAGATCATTTACTCAGGGCTGGCTGTTTCTTTCTTTAATTTCTTCTTTCAAGGTAAAGTTGAGGTTTTTCCTTTTTCTTTGTAAGATCTTCTAGGTCTCATACTCTTTTTCATATTCTTGAGTTGGGGTGTATTGTTTTGTTGATGTCAATGAAAGAAAACACATAAATGGGTTGGTGTTGTGTTCTTACAAGCGATTGACTTTATTTATTTCTCTCTATGAATTTAAGTTTGAGTCTGTTTCTTCATCATCATATTGTTCGTGGATTCGGCAGTTGGCGCGTTCTGGATCCTTTTTGTCGGTGTTTGAATCTATGAACAATGATTCTGATATGAACATTCATTTCTTTCGTGCATGAACAATGGACAAATTACATTGTTATTAATTCATGCTGTGGACCCTGTGAATTCAATTGCCCCTGAGTTTGCTTTTTTTTTTTTTTCCTTATGAAGTTGGATGATAGAAACAAAATGGGGTTTTCATGTAGATAAACCTCTATTTTGGCATTTTGTGGTATTAAATCTGCCTCGTTTTAAATCTTTTTACGTGAAATGATGTCATTTTTTCCAAAAAAAAAAAAAAAAGTGATTTTTTGAAACATAATTTTTTTTGAAACTCTTTCGCATTTTGGTCTTTAGAGTTTGATAGTTATATTAAATCATCACTTGACTTTATTTGCTTTAAATTGGAGTCTCTAAATGTACAGGGAAGAGAGAGAAGGTACGAGAGAGGAAAGAAAAATTTATGACGTACTATAATCCGAACATAATATTGATATCAATATATATGTTTCCTTTCACGATGTGATTTTATTAATAATGGTTTTAGTGTTTCAAGTAATTGAAAAAGAAGATTGACTCTTTGGAAAAAAAAATTGAGTTTTTGAATATGATTCGATCTTTTTTTATGTGAAATGATGCTATTTTTTTGAAAAAATTATTTGATTTTTTGAAACTCTTACCACTATAGTCTTTAGAGTTTGAGAGTTATATGAAATGATCACTTAACTTTATTTGTTTTAAATTGAAGTCCTTAAACATAGAGGGAGGAGAGAGAAATTTTTGGCGAATTGCAATATGAGGACAATATTTATGTTGATATACATGTTCGTTTTCATGATGCGAGTTTATGAATGATGTTTTAGTGTTTCAAATGATTAAAAAAAGAAGATTGACTCCTTGAAAAAAAAATTATGTTTTTAACTTTGATTCGATATTGTTTGAATTTTTAGAGTCAATTTGAGCATGTTTTGAGGTTTAAAATGGTTTCTAAATGTGTTTGAGATGATTCTAAAGTGGTTTTTTTTTTTTTTTTCAGTAAAATTGACGTAGAAAATAGGTCTGGAGGCTAAAACAATTGCCTCTCAAGTTTTTGATGATCATTTCCAGATTCGTAAGCAATTTTCATATTTTGGTCACCGAAAATTTGGAGAACTAGCTTGGACGACGCGTCATATGCCGTTTTTCTTTTATAATCAGTATTGGGCCACGCCATACAACCAAAGTGTGCGAGCCTAGATGCCTCTGGTACCCGCGCTTGGGTCTAGCACTAGTCTAGCCCCTTTTTTTCCCCATCCAAAAAAAAAAAAAAGAAAAAAAAAGAGGTTATTATTTTCCATTATTTTAGTTTTTTTTAAAATTACTGTAGAAAATAATCATTATTATAAAAAATAATCACTCTTCATGCAGTCTAAGAAAAAAAAATGATTAATTACCATTTTTTTTAATAATAATAGAGGTTTGATGATTGATGATTTATCAATATAAAATGTATAATTTTAAAATTTTAATGATGATAACACTAAAATAAAGCTGATATAATATTGATTTTTTAAAAAAACATTAACACTGACAGTAATAACATTCTGGGTAAGAAACAATTTAAATATTAAGGATTAATGGGTGATAATTTATCATCTTTAAAGTTGTATTATTTTTTGCTAATTATTTCTTGTTTCAAGTTTAATTATTGTTCTTCAACATATTTTTAAAATGTGATTCCTTATTATTTTCAAGTAGTTGTTGTTGTGTATATATATATATATATTTTGTTAGAATAGTATTGACACATCAAACAATCTATTGATCTTTTTTTTGTCCCCTTGAAAATGCATATTACATTTTAAATAATAAAAATTAATATTCAAAATGACATTGATGAGAAATAAGAAAAAAAAAAAACTACCAAATAGAGAATAATGGATTTTTTTTAATCCATGGTTATGAACTCAATTGTTAAAATTAAGCACCCTTTCAAGTTTCAATATAGATTGCTCAAGTACCTTTTCATTGTTAATTCTTGCCTTCTTCTAATGATTTATTCTCTTAGTTTATTTTTTAGGTAATGTAAATAATAGATTGCATATATGTTTTTTTATTTATCATAAAAAAAATATATTCATAAAATAAATTCAAACCCCAAAATAAAAACGCACATGATATTAAACACTATAATGTATAATTACAAAATTTTGTATACTTAAGATTTTCAGTATTAATTAAGATATTAAAGCAGACTTTATTAACTTGTTCATAGTAATGCGCAAGATATGAAACTAACCCCTTGTTTGGATATTTCCTCTTGGAAGGAAAGAAAAGAGAGGAAAGAAAGTGAGAGGAAACAAAATTGAGAGGAAAGAAAACTATTATCCACTTGTTGTTTGAATAAGAGTAGAACCGAAAGGAAAAAATTATTTAAGTGGTCGTTTTTAGAGATGTTTTGTATCTGTTTTGATGGGTTTTTCCGAGTAGTTTTGAAGCTGGTTTGAAGGTGTTTTTAAAGCTCGCTTTGGTGGTTCAAATGGCATGTCCAAAAGGGTTGCTCTGTAAGGGTTTTGGAGGGCTATTGATAACGGTTTCGAACCGATTTTAGAGACTTTTGGTAGGTGTTGGGTTCTGCTTTGGGGTTGCTTTTGGGGCTATTTTTTAGGGTGCTTTGGAAACTTTTGGTAAGTGTTAGGTTCTGTTTTGTTGGTAACGGTTTCGTAGTCGGATCATGTTACAAAATTGCTAGCAGGGGAAACAAATCATCATCCGGAAAAATGCGAAGCTTAAGCCATAGAGCAAAAAAATGATCACTAGTTAACAAATAAACTTGATAAAATTCCCGACTAAAGAACCAAAATGTTGTACGTACAACTTCACAACACCAAAAATTCCATTATAAGTGCACATATTCAATGAGAGAGAGAGGAAAAATATTTAAACAAATTTCGAAGCCAATACCATACTCCGGAATAGTGTATAGCCGATATTGTTAAAAAACCCTTCCCTTAGTCCACGCCCCACAAAAATCCGAGTGTGAAACCACCAAGTGAACACATACAAAATACTCCAATCCAATTCTTCAAGGGCATTCCTAATCCAAGGAAGTATATATAAAAAAAAGAAAAAGAAAAGAAGCAATGCCGACGAACTCGGGGATAACAAACACAAAGGCAGCCTCAAGAAATGTCACTATTCTCCTGTCTACCTCGGGAGACCAAAACCTAGCAAAATCCTTTGCACTCCAAATCCTCTCATAAAAGACCCCAAACACAATGGTTCACGTCAAAGCAACCATACTTTTCAACCCCATCCTCACCCCTAACAACGAGTGTCTCCCTCGAAACCAAGCTATATTGTGTCCCCGCATCTAGCATCGATCGCACAAACCTAAGACCAGCCCAAATGATAAACACACAAATACCGTGGGTGTAAGTTTCATCGCTCGAAAACACGATGCTCGACCGGAGAGAAAATGCGAGTCACGTCGGTAACCCTGTCTTGATTTGCGGATTTGTTTTGCAAATCTGTTTGGTTACTCGCAACGGTTTGCAAAGGAGAGGGACGACCGAGAGGCAGAGGGCAAAAACGTGATCGAAAAAAAAAAGTATCGCGTTTTTTCTCTCGGTTTTCTCCCAATTTTGGGAGGAAATGAGTCCCACCTATTTTGCATTTTTTATTATTATTTTTTTTTCTTTCCATTGCTTTCCACTCCAAACCGGACGAAGGAAAATATTTTTTTCCTACCTATTTTCTTTCCTCTCCCCCACTTTCATCCCTATCCAAACACAGGATAAAGGATATAAGTTTTTACTCTAATTAGACTTTTTCTATTATCCTTAAAATGACATCAAAGTGGTCACAATGGCATCGTTGTGACAAAAACGTATGTTTTTTTTTTTACAACCTTAAGTATTTTAAGTGATTTTTTCAAAATTAAGCACCCTTCTAATATGGATTACTCAAGCACTCGCTTATTATTATTATTATTATTATTTACATTATTTCAATTAACTTTTTAGGTGATATAAATAATTGATTGCATGCTTGTCTTTTTTATTTATAAAAATCAAACATATTCATAAAATATATATAAACTAAAACACACACAATATTAATACTACAAAATACAAATTAAATAAAAAAACCACAATGAATTTTTTTTTATTTTGATTTCTTTCACTTAAGTTTGCAAAATTATTAAAATATTGAGTTTTTTTTTCCATATATGGACCATCTACTCTTTGATTTTTTTTTTTAAATTTTTTATTGAGACCCTATATTCTTTTTCAACTTGATGAGACCATCTACTCTTCATTTAGCTTTGATCGAGGCATTCCGTTATGATGTGGTTTATTATTAATCCAATGTTACGGTTAGGCTTATCCAATGAATAATTGACACTATAAGAATGGAACTGACCCCAAATTAGATCTTTGAACAAGTCTTGAATCTATTGAAACATTTTAGGTAAATTTCTAATTTATAAAGCCTAATTTCAAATAATAAATGAAAATGATGAAAATGTTATGGTGTGGATAATTGAACTATCAAATGCATTGCTTAAATATGAATGAAATAATTTTTACATTTTTCATTATGTGAAATCATTTTACATGTATTCCGTTTGTTAGAAAATATACCATCGGTGACTTTCCCCTGTGTGATGAAGCTACCAAGTGGCTTTCGAATCAATTTACTTACTTTCTATTCATTCAAAATAAAGTCGTCGATAGCTTCCTACATATATGACAAAGTCACCAATGGTTTTGGAGTCATTTTACCTATTTTTTGCTTATAAAAAATGAAGCTATTGGTAGCTTCTCATTTAAGTAGATGGAGCCGCCGGTGGCTCCCAAATCAATTTTATTTAATTTTGAATTACCGAAATGAAATAGTTAGTAGCTTCCCACTTGTGTCATGAAGTCGCTAGTTGTGTGATGAAACGAAACAGTTTATGTACGAAACGAAGTCACCAAAGGCTTCTTACTTATATGATGAAGTCGTTAGTGGCTTCCAACCAATTATTTACTTTTTGCTTGACGAAATGAATTCATTAATGACTTCTCATTTGTGTGATGAAGTTGTTAATAACTTCTTAAATCCATAACTCGAAGTCGTCGGAGATTTTTCATTTGTATGAGTGAGGTTATCGATAACTTGTCGCTCATGTTAATAAAAGACTATCCATCTTTAGAAACTTGCCTACTTGTCGGCATAGGTCGTGTTCATAAAAAATTAGCCAAAATTTCAATTTTTCCATCTTTACCCTTTGAGTATGGGTATTGGCCTTAGATCGGCTCGAACCCTTAAACTATTTTATTTTACATCCCAAACCCCTAAACTATTATATTTTTACATCTTAACAAAATAAACTCACCCAAATAGGCATAGAAGCATAACACCGTAAAAAATCATATTTTTATTTTCATATGCATTCAATGATCCTACTTTAAGTAAGATGGGATAGAGATGATGTTATATCTTTTCCATAGTAATCGATCCCTTATCTAGATATCTTTGTAAACCATTATGTTTAGTGTTTCTTAGTTTTTTCGATTAGTTAGGTGGCAACTCTTGTTTTCCACTCGTTCACCCCACTAGCCCATGTCGACAATAGTTATTTAGTTAGTGTTGACAATACTTAATTTAGCATTTTATCCAAAAAATATATATAAAAATAATATAAAATAGGAAAAAAGGATCAAGTTTTAGATGAATTTAAGAGCTAAAAAAATTAAAGATATAATTTTTGAAACTATATATGCAAATTAATTAGTTTTGGTAAACTATAGAACTAAATTATAATGAACCCAAATTTGGTTCATGTACTCTTTCTTTCTCTCTCTCTCTCTCTCTCTCTCTTTCTATAAAGATCCTTTAGGCATAACGTCATGAGTTCATGCACCTACATAGAAGATTATATAATTAGAGAAATAAGAAAATGAAAAACAAAGAACACACAAATTAATTTACTTTGATTAATTAGATTTGTTTAGGTTATTTTTTCTCAATTAATTTTATTTCATTAAAATCATTTAATTTTGAAAAAAATAAAAATGAAAAAGTTATTAGATTGTGGATTGTCAAAAAATCAACTCGGTACTCCAACAAGAAGATATCATGTAGGCATATGAACTAACAACATATAAATAGAATGACTTATTCAATACAAAACGAGAGTGGAGGGGTTCAATAAATAGGAAAAAGAAGAAGAAGAAGAAGAAGAAGAAGATAGAATACACTAATAAAACAACTGAAAGAACATAGAGACCAAATCTAGATAAAACCCAATTTATACTTAATTTTTCTAATAATTATAATTCCTCATAATGCAACTATTAACCGGTAATCATATGGTTCATAACAAGAAATTCACTAAATAGCAATAAAATTTAGCGATGGAATCAAGTCCATCACTAAATGGAATGTAAATAATGACGAGAATAGTGACTCGTTGAATTTATTAAAAAATTAGAGATGGAATAGTGACTTTATTTTAGTGACGAACAAAAATCCATCATTAAATTTAATGACAAAATCTTTTTGTGTATTTTAAAGACAATTTAGCAATGAATTTATTAGGAAAAAGAGCAACAAACTTGAATTCATTAAATTTTTTGTTTTTTTAATATTTTTGTACATCTTAACACATTTATATATTTATTTTATTTTAATTTATATAAGTTTAATTTTATTTAATAATATAACATATCTTAATAAGGTGTTGTTTATATTTGTTTGTTGTTATAATTATTAATAAATGATAATTGCTTAAAAAAAATAGCGATGCATTTAGAGACAGAATAGAGATGATAATTAATGACGGATGAATACTTAGTCGCTAAACCGCAACGAAATAGAAACGAAATTGCTAGGATATTAGCAGCTAAAATTTAACGACAGGACAATCCGTCGCTATTTAGCAACAAAAATAAGTAAAAATAACAACGGATACGAGACGTCATAGACGATTGATTCAGAACCATTTAATGATAAAATATCAACAAAATAACAACGGAAAATCTATTGCTAACTAGCAATGGAAAAAAATTTCGTTGCTATAAAAATAACGACCACCACTTTAGCTACGAATTAAATTTTACATCTAATCCGTTGCTAATGCCATTTAGTAACGAATTTTTGAGAAATAACGATAGAAAAACCCATCACTATTTAGCAAATTTATTATAGTGGTCGCTATGGAAGAGCAAGAGGAAACATTATGCATTCACAGTAGTTTATGATGGCTCAATAGGTATAGCAATACAAGTGACTAACAGAATCCAGTTGTGATCTTGTCATATTGACTACGTCAGGGAAGAAGAAAGGTAACACTTGCTCCAATCTTACAGTTACAATTTTACCCTGTGCTCTGAAACATTAGATGTATTGAATAAGCAGGAAAAAAGCTTTTCCAATTCCAATTACAAATTATTCATCTGTAACTTTCGTTCCATAATGGTACAATTCTCTTATTTGACATTTTCTGTCATTGGTCCATGTATAATTCCCTTATTTGACAATGAGGAACATCCTTGTGGTTGCCAGCAATTGCATCAAACAGAAAGAAGTAAATTGCTTTAAGGGTAACTTGAACGAGAGTCTGGAAAGAACAATACATTCTGCATTCCATCCCATCTGAATCCTGTTTGAGTTAAAGCTTAGATTTTCCACTTCTTTGATCGTCAATAGCAATCATCACCTTCCCAATTACTTTCCTATCTTTAATAGCTGCAAATGCGAGACTGGCCTGTCAAAAGCAAAACACCAACATTGTCACTGAGGACACCATTTATTTGCAGGGTAGAAATTCATCATTTATGAAGACAAGAAACCAATATGTCTGTCCATATACTGCACATCCTAAGTCTACCAATAAGCTTCCTGCATATTCAATGCAAATTGGAGCATTAAACCTGAACTGTTTGTTTTACACATTTACCCAAATTACAGGAAAATAGAATTTATTGTACTGAAATAGTTATGTTTGATGCTTCGTAGGGTCCATTAATTCTTTCCATCAGATCCCAAACAGGAAAAGAAGTCAATCAAGTCATGAAAGGGAAACTGACAATGCATGAATCTAACACCTACTAGACTACCAACTCCCTCTTGGGTTGGACAGATATCATTAAATGATCTGTCCATCCATGTGTGGATTGGGAGACGACTCAATGTTGGTAGATTCATATGTTGTTGGGTCAAAACAAGAATATAATCACAACTCACAAGCTTATCCATCAGAGTTTCATGTTGGTTACATAGGAGAAGGTCAGGGTAACCATTCTTCTTCCATCAAGTACACATATTCTGCCAGAAATACTAGAATTTTGATATCCTTATTTTTCTCCGTTTCGTTGGAAAGGTGACTGGTTGAATGAAATCAAGCTTCTGGTATTCACTGCTTTAGTATCATAAATGGGCTTAGGTGAACGAAAATCTCCATCGAAGCAAGAAATTTTACCCCAGTCCTCTAAAATGTATACATTCTTACGATACATGGGCATATCATGGATGGATACTATGTGTGCATAAAATATTCCGAAATCAACAGAGGATAAGATATGAAGTAAAGATTTCAGAAAAAATTGATAATAGAAGGTAAAACCTACAAATTCATTTTTCTTTCTTGAAAATTTTGTTACATGATTTTCTAATATTTGTTTAATATTCTCCAGTCATAAGATGAACCTTCAGAAATCCAATTTGATTAACATTTAAGTTGTGTGAACAAACTCCAACAAGTTAAAATAATAATGCTGAGGCAAAGAAACCTTTTGAATCCTATCTAACACAAGCTTGTGCTGAATAGGACTGGTTTGGTTCCTAGAGTGCTTTTAACTATAGGGAAAAGCGTCTGATTTTACCAGCTCACATTTGTAGGAGAATTGAGTTCAGAATGTTTAATTTAATTCAGCGAACATTAATGGTAAACTATTTTCAAGCTAAAAATGTCTCAATTAAGTGGAGAGAGAGAGAGAGATAGAGATAGATAGATAGATAGAGAGAGAGAGAGAGAGAGAGAGAGAGAGAGAGAGAGGGAGGGAGTTCTGGACCTCAGGTAAGCTGTAAACATGAGAAATGTGGATGGTAATCAGGCCCTTTTCCACCCAGGAAAGCAGCTCCTGAATTGAATCTTTGAGCACAAGAGGTCGATGTATTTTATAGCTGCCCCAATAAAGTCCATGCACAGTCCAGTTCTGAAAGCATGCAGAGAACATTCAAAAACTAGCACTGATAATAACAGCATCAATAATTTTGTATTGTGCGATCATATAAACAACAGTAGAATTAAGACCTGCTGAAGGGAAAATAAGCCACTTTGGACTTTAGAGTGCCTTCAGTAGTAAAACTGCTATTTTTCTTAAAATTGTTATCCAACATAGTTCGACACTGACTAAGATCCTGCAAGCTTCTCAAAGACTACCATTTATTTTTTGAAACAGTTGAGGATTTAAAGCAGGTGCTATTCAATTCTGCAAACTGGGATTCATGCAACATCATTCCCTCCATCCTCATGCACCACCAATACTCCTTAAAACTAGACCTGATATTTTTTTCAGATAACATTTAGACCTAATGTTCTTCATGTTCAAAGAGGTTCTAGAGTAAAAGAACTTTGCATGACAAAAAAAGAAAAAAAGAAAAAAAAGAAAAAAGGATATGTGGTCAATCTTGGGAGTAGTGACTCATGGCCATATCCATTGACCCACATTAAGTGCAAAACCTATGACCGATTGTAAATGCACACAAGCTGGCTAGTTCTTCTGAACTATTTGGTCTTGCCACCAACTCCCCTTTATTGTTATCTGATCTTTTTCGTTACTTTCTTTCAATATCAGTTTCAAATCTAAAAGAGTGTCTTTATAGGTAATTTGGTTTGCCATACGGAGCAAAAAATTGCAAGAAATTATTATTAGGTAACCCAACTATTAGGTAAATGAAAACGGTACCTTGACAAGAGCAATATTGGCAGGGATAACTGGTACTTCCCCACTAGCAAAACCAATAACCAATATATGAGCACCCCAATTCAACAACTTCATGCTTTCTTTAGTAAGTTTGCCTCCAACAGGATCATACAAGACATCAACTCCTTTAAGCTTCCTTGCTTTAAGGAAGTCCTTGACACTGGCAATGACACTCTCTTTGCTCGAATCCACTATATGGTCCACTCCCAATGACTTCAAAAACTGCACCTTTTCATCTCCCCTGCCATAGCCAAAAACAGCAATCAACCCCAAAATGGTTTTACTTCTTAAAATTAAAGTATAATGCTAAAACTATAAGCATCACCGCCACAATAACAACCAAAAAGGAATAATGCTCATAAATGACATCTGAAGGAGTACAGAAAATGTAAGTACCTTGCAACCGCAATAACAACAGCCCCACAAACCTTGCCAATTTGAACAGCAGATAGACCGACCCCTCCAGCTGCACCAAGAACCAACAACACCTACAAAAAATTCCATACATCACTTTAAAAGCACCTCGAATTTGTGTATGCTAGCAATTATCCGTGTTAACTCAAAACACAAGGCATAGAAATGAAATGAACCAAAAGGCAATTGTGGAATACCCACCTGACCAGAAGTCAATTGAGCTCTATGTACAAGTGCAACATGTGAGGTGCCGAAAGCCACAGGCAATGCACCAGCATCAACCAACTCGCATCCATCTGGCACTTTAAACCTTTACAGACACCAAAACCAAACAAAACCCATCTCTATTAACAACCAACAAACACAATCGAAAAAAAAAATTATTCAAATCTCATCATAACTCACAATTCAGCTTGATCAACAACAATGAATCCGGCAAAGGAACCAATGGCAGCAAAGGAACAAACACGGTCACCGACCTTGAAAAGTGAGACACCAGGACCCACAGTATCAACGATGCCAGAGTAATCAGAGCCAGGGATAAAAGGGAGAGGATGTTTCTCTTGATACTTGCCTAAAATTTGCAGATAATTTGCATAGTTCAAGCTTGTAGCTTTAACTCTAACTCTAACTGATGTGGGTGATTTAAGTTGTGGGATTGGATGGGTTTTGTGTAAAATTATCGGGTTATCATTATCTGCCTCTGATATTGATGATTTCAATGCTGTTGGATCACCTAGTTTCTTGCACACCAAAGCCTCCATTTTTTTTCTCTCCTTGAATAATTCTACTCCTACTGATTTGATAAGTTTTGAATTTATAAAGGGCTTGCGGATGAGTTAAACTACATGTCGTTTTGGTCAATGGTGCTATTTTATGTCATTTTGTGGTGTTTTTATTTGCTCATCTACCAGTGTTTTTCCCTCTTACAAACTTCACCATATTTATCTATACAGTAAAGTCCAAGTCTTTAGCTTCTAGTGAAGGATTAATCATGAGTGGGATAGTGTTTCACCAGCAGCAGTTCGTGCTTCTATCTCATCATTACAGTTACAATGATGGTAAATGTTTTTCAGTTCCAAGAATTAAGGGCAATAGAGTGAGCTTTCCTCATTTGCAACATGGATATGCTGATTCTTATCCGAAATTGGTCGAATTACTTCCACATGCTTCAGTCAGTGGCTCTGGTGGTGCCCAATATTCTGGTAAACAGTTCTAACACCTTATCAATTCTTTTTTTTTTTTTTTTTTTTTGCTATTTAACACCTCACATCACTGTTGTTTTGGAGATCTTGTGCTGCTAGTTCTGACAGTTTTTATTTTTAATGTCCAGACCAGTGGTTGGATGCTAGAACAAAGCAGAAAAGAGAGAAAATAGCTGGTATAGATCAAGATGAATTATTAGACCCTTCCCTTTTAGCCGATCCAGATAGTTGTTTTTGTGAGTTTAGAGGGGTACAGATACACCATAAGGTATATGATGCAGTATCACAGGCAAATGATTCATCACAAAGCCACTCTCTTTCTCGAGTTCCTCTTAATAATTCTTGGAAGCTTGGTCTCCCTATGATTTTGTTGCATGGTTTTGGGGCTTCTGTTTACTCATGGAGTCGAGTTATGAAACCTTTGGCTGAGGTTACTGGTTCCAAAGTTCTTGCTTTTGACAGACCAGCTTTTGGATTGACTTCCAGGGTTGATGTTTCCACACATTTATCAACTGGTATCAACGATGCAAAACCATTGAATCCGTACTCCTTGGCATTTTCAGTGCTTGCTACCTTGTACTTCATTGATTTCCTGGAAGTTGAGAAGGTAGTTCTAGTGGGGTATGCTCGTTTCTCATATTATATTGATGTTGTTCACTGTTTGGCTTTTTCAAGATCCTATGATTTTGTTACATTTTGGGACTTGTGAGGTGAGGAGAGGATGGCGATCTGCTGGTCTCATGACAAACACAGACATTTTGCCAAATGGTGATTAGGGAACATTAATGATGCTCATTGAGTGTGTGTGGCCAGCATCTACAGTTCTAATATGGATTATTGCTTCCATAATCCTGTTTGCGTATTGGAAGAGTAGTTATATTGTTACACGTATGGCTTTGATAATCCTTTTAATCAGTCTTGTATAGCTATTTGCCAGTAAATGGGGTAGGATAAGTGGTGCTGGGACAAAAAAATAGGGACACAACTGCACCATTGAAAAATAGGCTAAAGTGGTCTTTTGGAAAGTCTATTTGTTTTTGCTGATAAATCATTGAAACTGGTCTACAGTTTACCTTCATCAGTCTTTGCAATGTGTAAGTATGTTAGGTCTATGTCCCTGCAAATTTCCTTGTCTTCTTTCATGCCACTTTTGTGAAATCTTGGGCCTCTCTAAACTTGTTAAAATTTTTAACATGCTAGGCACTCAGCTGGTTCTCTTGTAGCAGTTGATTCATATTTTGAGGCTCCTGAACGTGTTGCAGCTCTGATTCTCATTGCCCCAGCAATATTTGCTCCACGTGCAGTTCAAAAGCTTGCAGAAAAAGAAAAAATTGGAAGAGACAACCAGACCGAAGGAGACAGATCAAATTCAAATATGTTAGCAAAGCCATTTATCAAGAGTGTTGAGATTTTATTAAAGTCTATTAGATACATCACTCAAGCAGTAGTGCAAATGGTGAAGGGGATGACAAATATGCTCAATTCGTTGTACAAGAAAGCATTGTCAGCTCTTTTGCGCTCTGCCTTTGGTGTAATGCTGGTATTTTTTCTTTGTGGATGATCTCGATATTTGGTTTGCATTATTTCTAGATCTTGCTGATTCAATTGATTGTTGAGACCTGTGAAAGATAAAATATTTAAAGACCGACTTGTATGTAAAAGTGATTTTGGTGAAAGCATGGTTACTAATCATTCTCCCTGAACATATTGAAGGCTGTATCCAAAGACAGGTTATTATACCAATTTCATTACACCATTAGAGTAAATTGGTTTGCATGCACGGCAATTGTGACACAAATTTTGATTGCCCTAGCAATTGCATTCTCCACAAACATGTCAATACTTGTTTTTATTAATAGCATATAGCCAATATTTTTGCTACAAAAGAGATGTTCGAACCTGAGTCCTCTTTGGGAAGCGGGACATGGGCACTAATTGAGCTACAAACTCATTTACAGGATATAGCTGAATGCTGATACTATTAATGGAGATTTTAGAAAGTTCCTTTTCTTCTTTCTTTGTTCTTTTTATGGGGTGTGTGTGTTTAATTGGGGTGGGGAGTTGCTAACAATAAATAAGTTCCTTAACAATGACTTGACTATTTGATTCTCAGATAAGGATGGCAATCGATAAGTTTGGTAGATCAGCAGTGAAGATAGCATGGCATGATCCAAATCAAGTCACCGAACATGTTCTAAATGGCTATACAAAGGTAACTTAGCTCTGTTCTTATTGTGTCTTATTAACTTTGAAACTATTAGAAGGAAATATTTAATTTTATTCATTTGTAGTTAACTGCATATTGCTTACCTTGAAGTAACTATACATGCAGCCATTAAGGGTTAAGGGATGGGACAAGGCTCTTGCAGAGTTCACTGCAGCAACACTTGCAAATGCTGAGTCTGAATCAAAGCCACCACTATCAAAAAGACTTCATGAAATCTCATGTCCTGGTACTTGCACTAACTCTACGTCTAGCCGTGAGAAGCTGTTTAACTTTGGAAAACTGTTTATCTTGAAAAATATCTATTAGAAAGTAACGAGTGAGAAAAGAAGACAGTGAGATGAAAGACATTTGGGTGGATCGTTGTTAATTTTTGGTTTATATTAATCGTACTATTCAAAACTAATGAGGCACCCCCGTCTCTGATCTGAATTTTTTAGGATGAGTGGGGTAAGGAAGGGGGCATGGAGGATTAATAGATGGGTCAATGAGGGACTTTCGAGCATTTTCTCTACATAGAATTTCTTGGTTATACTCTTCTTGTTGATTGTCAGCGAGTTCAACTCTATAGCATCATTCTTTGAGTCATGAAAATACCATCTGCCCTGCCTCATTAATTATGGTAATTAGCTTGGTTAAATTAAATGCTTATTCTTGTGTTTTTGTTGATGGATGATGTACTCCCAGTTTTGATCATCACGGGTGACAATGATCGAATTGTTCCATCATGGAATGCCAAGGGACTTTCACGAGCTATACCCGGTTCTTGTCTGGAAGTAATTAAGAATTGTGGCCATTTGCCGCACGAAGAAAAAGTGGAAGATTTTGTTTCTATTGTTTATAAGTTTCTGCACAGAGCTTTTGGTGATCAGAAGGAACTATCTTTACAAGCAGGAGCAGCAGTTTAAATTATATCCCTTCACTTGTACCCTTCTCTTAACTTGTATGCATTTAAAAAGCTGTAAGAAGATCAGATGAGAAGACCTTGTGAATTATGCAAAGGTAGCGTTCTGAAGTCTGAAGTATTGTTTTCTGGTGATCTGAAGAAATATTAGACTTGGACAAAATATTCAATTGCTCAACTCAGAGAAACAATGAAGAGTGATATTTTTACTACTACAAGGTCATTCCTTTTTCTTTTTTTCTTTTTCTCGAGGCACATCTAATCCAGTGGGGATTATCAGAAGTTTCCAGTGATGTATATGACTACAACAGGCTATCAGCATTAGTTCTTCTAAAATTGAATGAAAACTTTCTTGTTTTCATTTGCAGGATCAAAATGGAACGAACCATTTCACAAACAAAGTAGGAAGAAAGTATGGGACAACCAATTCAAATTCTTAATTCTTAATTCTTATAGCATTGCAACACTATTACAGGAAACTAGGGCACCTTTTTATCAGAAAGGAGGATTTGTTGTTATTGTAAGAGTAGGATCATGTAAGCCAGAAGGAATATCAAATCCTGACATAAAGTCATCACCAAAAATGACAGCACCAGCAGCCAAAGCTCCAGCACCAAGTCCCATTGCCAAACCAGGTCTTGGACCTCGGGGTCCAGGTGCAGCTACAGACGATGGCATATTTATATAATCTGTATTTGGAAGAAAAGTAGGCATGTAACCAACATTAGATGGTGGAGGTGGTGGTGGTGGAGTTCGAGATGGTTGATAGCTTGGTCCAGCTGCTGGCGGGTAACTTGGGCCACCTACTGATGGATTTGAATAATTTGCAGGGTATGGCATTGGATGGCTGTATGGAATATTTGATGATTGATTTTCCGGTCGTCGGAGTGGAGCTAGTGGCAGTTCTGATGGATAGGCTTTCCCTGACCCTTCAGTAGGTATAATAATATTGTTCCTGGGGTCCATGAGCACAATTCCTCCATTTCCTGTAACACGGTATTTAATTCAATAATTACATGCTAAAACTCAATCACAATTCACAAGATAGTAAAAGATGATCCAAGCTCTATATCAATGATCAAGTTATCATATAATGCTTCAAACTGAAACTGTGAAAATTGGATGACAATGGTCAACGTAACACAATCCAAAGTTAGCAATACAGTTGGGTAAGCTTAAGATATACTTCTCCCATGAGTACCTGAATCTGGGTATGAACTTGGCTCTTCCCTTTCCTGGGAGATGTGAATTGAAACGTCAACAAATCCTTGAGGTTTACTGGAACTTCTTTTGCGTAGCTGATAGCTCCCTACTTCTTCAATTCCTGGCCTTGAGGCCTCATTGCTCTTGCTATACTTTGCCAGGAATTCTTTCAGGACCACAGTTGCAGTCCCTTCAAGTCTTTCTCTCAGAAAAATGGGCTCTCTGCTGTATACCTCAACTTGCAGTGCCATATCTTGAAAGTTCGAATCGTCGACCAGGGTAGCGAACTTGGTTTTCCATGTGGGATTCGCATTCCCAGAGGCATCGATCTTGGTACAATATTTGTTCTTTGGATCAATCCAACCAACAGCAAACCATTGAAGCTTCCAAAGTGAAGAAGTGCGCCGGAGTCCTCTGGCAGAGATCAAGCAAACCTCTACCCAAATTTTACCCATGCCAAGCAAGTGTAGAAAACTACAAATGGTTAAGAGAACTTTTCCTGTATTTAGGGTTTCTGTTGACAAAGTTGTTTTGGAAAGGACAAAGTGGAACTGCTGGGCATTATCTATAAGGCTACTTTACTTTGATAGAGAGAAAATTCTTATCTCCAAGCACAATTAAGGGGCAATCTTTTGCCACCTTTTTCTCCTACAAAGTGCATCACAGTTAGACAGGAATCTGTGTGTAACAAGAAACCATATGGTCCAATAATATATGAAAAATAACTAAAGTTGTCAGAAGGGGGTGACAGGTGAAAATCAACAAATCCCATGTTTGAAATATGCTCATAGTCAATGAATCAACAGTGCCTCATCAAATAAATAATAGCATACATGAAAGGTTGTTGTAAAGGTCTCGCATTGGTACACAGTATGGACGTTATCAAGAGATCGATATTGATATTATTGCGATATTTTCAACGAAATCACTCGGGTCCAACCCCTCTGCACACTTGGCACGCCTGTCTGTTTGATGCCTCTGTAGATCCTGATTCAACATCTACAAAGTGGCTTGACATACAAGATCAATATCCAGGATCTATCTCTACTAGAGCTGTCAAAGATTAGCTCATTGCATGCCAAATATTCAATGAAATCTGCATTGGGGCTGAATTTTATGATTTGGAGTTCTTCAAAGACTCTGAAGACTTTCTTAGTGGTGGAGCTAGCAAAAGTTTTCGACCTGCATGTTTAACCATCGGATCACCTTCAATATGAGTTGAAAGAGTCCTTGTATACATCATTGTAGTTGACCCCATTATGTCATCTCCAAATCCACAGGCTTTGAAGAACAGCCTGACAAAAGATTAGTAAATCATTGTTATTGGCTAAGTTTTCATGCATATGTTTAAAGTATATGAACATGATACGGGGAAAACAAATACATGCTTTTATCCTCTGACAAGAATTTCTACAAGCTCCTATCTACTGTGCCAAAAGAAGTGACTGCCTAAATTGGGTCTGGGATTATTATTCTCCCATTCCCTTTCTCAAAACCACATTTAAGCCGTCGGTGACTTGAAGGATTTCCCTATGCATTTCAAGGGCTTAATCTGGTTGTTGAGGGTTAGTGAATCCTATATCTATCTCTGCAACCCATTTCCCTTCTCCATTTGCCAATTTTTTATTTGAAGTCAAAATGAAAATAATTGGAAATTTTTTTAAAATATATTTGAGGATACACAAGCCTTAGTGAGATGATTTATATGAACATGCTGTACCATATGGATCTTTCTCACACGTATTGAGAGTATGTAGCTAATATAAGACTTCCATGCAATTACCTCTCATCAGCCGAGCAAAGGGCTGCAATGTCATAAATCTCTCTACTTGTGAGTATTCTGGAAGACAAAAAGGTAAGCGTGAGGCTCCAGAATAAGAGAAAACAGGATGAAAGAGCTGCTACATTTAAATATTAAAGCTATGGTGCTTATTTATGTCTCAGAGAACTCATATGTAGGTAATTACATGAACAGGCTTTTTGCCCAGCAAGTACCAGTTCGACCAACAAAATAAAAATACTACCATCAGGTTGTCCTGGAGAGGCCAGAAGAGCTAGACGCCAAAGACTAATATATTACAATTTTAACGGGAGCAGTGTACTACTAAGTGTAACAAATGAGAAACATCACCACTGATGGGAAGCAGAACATTAATAAACTTTCAAGCAACAGCCAAAAGATGCCCTTAAGGTTGGTCAGAATTCATGAACTGGCTAATCTTTATGGAAGTACAGATCAACCATTTAAACTTAAGACGTAAATATAGAGAGAAAGCATCTGTTGACTAACCTTATGATTCTTTTAACTATCATCTTCCCAATTCCCATTCCCTGTAACGAAGGAATAACCTGGGAGACACTGAAACACAATTATATGAATACAAGTGAAGTTAAGTAACTGGCTTTCACCAATAATACTTACGCATTCTATTACTAGTATCATTTATGGACTAAGATACTATGTATACATTTGTCCATACTCCCTTATAAATTGGTTTCTAGGTGTCAAATTGGATGAATACACATTGGAGAATCCACAGCTATAATTCAAATGGAGACTTCACAAGGCTTCACGATTCCAGTCCAGTAATAAATACTTCAAGGATTGTGTTAGATAGTGATCAAGAACAGGAACTGTGCTCTAGCCAGAATTACAAAATTCATACCTAGCAGGCAAATTAGTAGAGCATATAAATACAAAATAAGCCCTTGGAAAACACGAATTGCATCCTCTGCCACAACTAGCGACCTAAAAAGAATCACAATTGGGATTGAAAACAGTGAGAAAAAGCCTCATCACCCACATACCATGACATCAAAGATGGAAGCAGTCAATCCATAATCAGAAACAGCACGGCCAAATCCCACTAACTTGCCAGTGGAAGGTGAAACCACAGGAAAAGGCACCACCCTCTGCAACAAATCTCCCAAACCCACCAAAGGAGTAGTCTCTCTTTCACTGGGTTCATCCTCATTTCCACAATCATCATCACTAGCTACAACATCTTCTGTATTGCAAAAGACAGAGACAAGAAGAGCACTGTGAGAAAGAGCAATGCTTAGTTTCTTGATGTCAACTGGTTCCACTAGTTTTCCCGTATTGTCCACCCTTGGAAACCTGTGGCAGGAGTGGTTGCAGCTGCTGTAGAGGTCTCTCAGTTCTTGAGGGTTTATATGAGAAGGGTTCGTGGATATGAAAATGGGTATTCTTGGTTTTAACTTTGTTGACACTTGCTTGCTGTAATCCTTTCTAGTTGCCCATCTTATTTCCATGGTCTTGATGCCACCATATCCACAACAAGTCTTCATCTTTATGGTCATTGCAGCAGCAGCAACATCCATCCTCCACTACGCTCACTCTAAACCACGAGAGACAAATCCATCCAATTATTTCAGAGTTTGAGGATTAGGAATTTAGGATGGATGGGTGACAATTCCAGTCGATCTGCGTTTGTCTTGTATTTCATTCCCTTTCATGGTGCTTTTTTGGGAGGCCCATGTGCTATTGATTTTTCACAAAGATACTGTTGACTTGTGGTTTTGATTGGGAGATAATTGGACATCCCTTTAGTGACATCCCTTAGGTAAACAAAGGTTCTCCCTTCATAATCAACACAAATTTTCATTAATTTTGACTTTTAAAAACATGAAAAGGCACATGCAAATTTTTTTACGGATTTCAATTTTAGAAAAAAAAAAATAGATTAAAAAATCAAAATAATCATTAGAAAAAAATATATGTAACAAACTATAATATTTTTTTTATTTATATACAATTTTTTTTAAAAAAATCAATTTCTTTTATTGATGTTGGAAAATTTATTTGTTATTATTTTTTTTTTACAATTTTTATTTATTCATGCTGTATTTTTTCCTTTGTTCCAATTTTTTTCCTAGCTAATTTTATTTTCAAAACCGATTTTGCTCACATCGAAACTCTAATATAATTCAGATTTTTTTTTATTAAGACTTTAAACTTTTTTCTTTCTAATTTAAAAGTTATACTCTTACATTATTATTGTTGTTTTAGATCTTAATGGGCCAAGTAAGTACACATGGTAAGCTCTAGCCAATGATAACTTTGCACATATTATGGTGGACCCAAATTGATTTCTAATGAAAATAAAAGATTTTTACGTGATAAGGTATCGTTAGTTAGAACTTGTTATGTATATTTACGTAACATATTAGGATTTGAAAAACAACAATAACATAATTTTTAAATTGAATAGAAAAAAAATTTAAGATCTCAATAAAAAAATCTAAATTGTACGAGTTGAGATCTTAATATACGTAAAAAATTTTTAGAACAAAAAAATGTTAAGAAATAAATAAATTTTATGAAAAATTAGAAAAATTCAAACGCATAAAATCAAAACTTTCATGAAAAAATAAAATATGTATGAAAGAACTGCCAACTCTAACTCCTAGATATGTATAAAGTTCTTTTACCTGCAGATGTTTCGCTACATAAAAATTAATATGATGAGAGTAGGGTACGGGACTTAGCTAGCACATTAAGTCGGTGTTGCGACTGTCGGTTTAGCAGCATATATATCTTGACAAGTCTGTTTCCTTAACATCCCCGACAAGCTTGGTACAACACGAAGCTTGTCTTTCAACTGCCGATATCGAGAATTAGACAGTAAATCAGGATCTTAGAGAGGGAATCCCTTTTTAGGGCACCGATCTTTGCCTTGGTATGTATAATGTTCTTTTTCTTTTCTTATCAAAAGATGGAATTCAGCTTTGATGTTTGATTTCCTATGTAATAAACGTATTAGATAATAATATAAAATTATTAAGTAAATCTCATTTAATATTTTAAATTTTTTTGATAAAATAATTCTTCTAACATAATATTATAGTTTTAATAATCAAATGATTGTGAATTTGAATCTCAAATTCTTAGGATAAATTAAAGAAGAATATACATTATTTCATGAAATCTAACTTAATATATAATTTAAGTTTTTTTTTTTTTTTTTTTTTTTTTTTTTTTTTGGTGAACTGAATGGAATGTTCACATATTTTCATTAATTTCTAAACAGAAAGGAAAAGCTATAAAAGGTAAAAGAATTGGGTGAATTAAAGAGAAGGTGACAAAAGCAGTTGGACCGATGTAGATTCCGATAATTAATATTCAAAACTTAATGGATTATTTATTCATTAGGTAATAGATCAAATATAAATATTAATTTTGAATTTAAGTACACATATAAACAGTATACAAATTCGACCTTTATATATATATATATATATATATATATATATGTAAGTTTTACTTGTGTTGTAAATGGAAGAATTCATGAGCTTGCGCGCTCTCTCAACTTTTTCGTGTTACATTTTTTTTTTTTAATGAAAATCTTACTTTTTGTTATTTTTCTATTTTTTTTCCGGTCCTTTTCATTGTTTTGAAGATTCCAATGACTAGTTTGTGGTATAAATATCTACTTAATAATAATATCTCTATTGAAGTGGTTTGAGGATGTGTACGTAACTTTTTGGTTCAATCAACTATTTTACAGTGTTTTTTTCTCTTAAAATTACAAAAGAATCTGATATGGATTAAAATTGGCTGTAGAACAGAAATTTCCTATAAATATTAAGATCATTATGAAGCCTTAAAATCGCAATAAACTCATGACTGATGAGAAAAGAAGGCTGTCTTTTTTTATATATGTTTCCATGTATATTAATATAGATCAATTTTGCCACAAACAATTTTTTTAGAATACAAACATGAATTCTTATTTATGCAACAATATAAAGGGAAAAAAACTATCTAGCCAACAAAATAGAAAGATGATATTAAAAAAAGAACAAAAAAGAATTAGTGTTATGAAACAATTAATGTCAATTTGAATGTTCATATGTTTTTCATATCTCTATTATTCATAATTCTTAATGTAATTCAATTCACTAATAAATATAAGAAATTGAAAGATTGATACAATTAATTCAATAATTTATGTACTTTTAATTGTTCATAGTCATTTTCAATTCTCTTTCTAATTTTGAAGCTTATAAATATGATTGATTGTTCGTTAGTTTATGTACATGTGTTTTGTAAAGATCGAGAGAATTATTTGGAGTTGTTATCTCTTGTATTCTCTTTATTTTCTAGTGAAATTATTTTTCATCATCTTTTATCCTATCCTTTTTATCATTATCATAACAATCTTTTATGATTATTATGATATTTTCAACACGTTATCGACACGAGTGTTCTACCAAAAGATGCAAATTATTTAGACTATTAAAAGGTATGTATCTAATTTATCTTTTACTTTAAATCAAATGTTATATATACTATACGTTTAAAAAACTTGAATGATCTAATATATATTCTAATGAACTAATATGTTGTTTAAAAATTTTAAATTTTATTATTATGTTTTTTCTTATTTTCTAACATTGTTATTATATTTTCTATTATAGAATTTTTTTAATATCAAACCTCACAAAGCTTGATTTGTAGCCCTTCACATTTCGGGTAAAAATTATTTATCATGTGTGCTTGATATTGAGATACATTTAAATGCTAATGGTTTTAGACAAACAATTATGGATGATAATCAAGAATCCTTGCAAAACCGTGGTAAGGTAATGATCTTCCTTTGCTATTATCTCCATAAGGATTTGAAAACTGAATATTTGATAGTAAAGGATCCCTTTGAACTCGTGAAAAAATTTAGAGGAAAGGTAGAACTATTAAAAGATGATAATTCTTTCAAAAGCTTGTTACAATTAGATGCACTTAAGATTACAAACTTTTAAAATAGTAAGTGAGTATAATTTTATAGTATTTAGAATCAGTTTCCCACCACTAAAATTGTATGAAGAAAATATTATTAATTCGGATGTGTTAAAAAAATATTATCTACTTTTCATGCCTCGAATATGCTCATACAACAACAATATTGAGAAAAAGATTTTAAAAAATACTCTAAATTGATTTCATGCTTACTTGTGGCTGAATAAAATAATAAGATATTGATGAAAAATCATGAAACCCTCCTAACTAGGTCTACTCTATTTATCGAAGTGAATGTGACATCTTATAATAATTTTAGACATAGATGAAGACATGGTCGTGGCCGTCATAGTCAAAATAATTATTGTTATAATCATGATGGTCATAATGATACACCTTACCATAAGAAATGGATAAACTATTAAAAGATACAAGAAAAGTATAAAAATGGATCAAGTCAACATTGTGAAAATGAATATTATAGGTATGGTATGAAGGGACATTGGTCACGTACTTATCGTATGTCAAAATACTTCATCAAGCTTTATTAAGCCTCATTGAAAAAAAAAAGTAATATAGAGGTAAATTTTATATATCAAAATAATAATTGTGACTATGTTCCTCTTGATGGCTTTAGTAATTTGACACATTGAGATGCTACTTGGTTTTTTTAAAGATTTTGAAAAAAAAATTAGATTAATGATAATCATTGAAATTAATATCTTGTTAGCTTTTTTATTGATAAATAAAGAATTTTTATGTTTTTTTTTATAATTTATATTGCATCGTGATATTTATAATTTTCAATATTATATTTTTTACATTATGCGGTGATTTTTTAGTAGTGGTTCAAAGTCCGTTGCATATTAGAATTATATGCAACGGTTTTACGACGGTTTGAAATTGTTACGATCAAAATTATTTTTTTATACTCAATTAAGTAAATCGTTGCATATGATTTAATTATGCAGCGTTTTTAAGAAACCGCAACATAAAGGTGTTTTATGCAACGGTTCGGAACCATTACAATTAAAATTCTTAACCCGCAAAAAAAATTATTTTCCGTCATTCTCCTCGCTAACACACAACCAGCCCTCTCCTTTCTAGTATCTCTTCTCTCGTCTCTTGCTTTTTCTCTTTCTCTCGTCTCTGTCCCGTTCTCTCTTCGATTCAAAGAGAGATGGCAATGAAGGAATTTTGCTTTCTTCTCCTCTCGTTTCATTCTACTCCCTTCTAATTCTTTGATTGAAACCCATAAATTACTTATAGGAATCCTTTAGGTGAAGTTCAAATATCCCTCTAAAACCTAGATTTGTTTATGTTACCTCGAAATCTTACAATCCTTATATTAGAAACTAGAGTCTTTTCTCTTAAGAATCCTCAAAATCCTCTTTGTGAACCCAAGAATCCTTTCGTTGAAACCCAAGAAGGCTAGTGTTTGTTTAAGAACCCGGAATAAGAAAGAATCCCAAAGTCTTTTTTTCAAAACCCAATAAAAAACCCTAGAAATTTTTCCTTTTTTTTTTTTTTCCAAACAACGAAATTCCTTCCCTATTTATACCGGGATACTACCCCTTCTCCACCT